ATAGTCGTAATATCTGAATCCCCATCATTTTCAACTACACTCTCCTCTGCAGCTTTAACCATGGATTAAGTGCATACTTCCTTTGCAGCAGAACAAAGTAGCTCATTATCTCGCTTGAATGTTATAGGCCTAGGTAAGTTCATTACGGCACATACCGTTTTCGCCGCTCGTCCCCCCTTCCCTTTGCATCGGAACGCATACACAGATCTAACGTTTACTTCCATCGTTCCACCACACACCTGTTCACTGTTTTTGGCAGAAACCTCATATTTACAATTATTACATTTAACTATTACTGTAACGCTTAGGCCAAGCCTGTCACTTGTAAAAATTGATAGAGACTCACCGCACTTTCCACACACAGCGATATGTTCCATGAGTTTTTCTAACCTATTGAGATTTATAATGTAATTACACTTATCATCGTCAGTATACTTATCATAACTATCCAGGTTCGAATGCACCTTTCTTTTTGAGGCACTTGATTCCTCATCAGGGCTAGGCAGAGGAAGTAGATGGTCTAGGACAATCATCAACAGAACTTAGTGATAATCCTGCTTTTGGACTCCATAGAACTGATGTTTCCGCTTTTTTACTCTTAGTCTTGTTATTGTCACTCAAGAATCAATAACAAATTAAAAACTATAACGTATTCACCACTAAAAAACTAAAACATAAGTTATTCACAACTCAAACAATAAGATTCACAATATTTGTAAACATAACCACAATCACAATACCAACAAACATTCTGCTAGCTGTAAACAACTGCTGATTGTCTGCAGTAAACAGGGCTACCAACATAGAAAACTAAATTACTTCTACTTACCTAAAAAACGTACAGTATAAAATGCTGGAGTATTATAAACGTAAAATCTAGTGAAAATGCCTGTGTAATTATTTGGTAAATTGTCCATAACTAAAATAAATTTGCAACATAACAAAGTAATATTCCGTTTTAAAGCTAATGAAATTTAAAACAAAAATAACACAAAAAATAAAAATCTAAAATTTTTACCCTAAAATCGGCCGAGCCTCCTTTTAATTACCTACGATTATTTTATTTCTAAAAATATCATTGTTTTCAGCCGAGGAGTGCAAAGAAAAGTGGAAGAACTTACGAATAGTCTTTGCACGAAAATTGAGGCAACCCCCAATTGGTTCTGGAGCTAAGAAAATAACTTATTATTTAGATGATGTTATGCAGTTATCTATTCCATTTATCAAAACATCAAAACCACCTTCAGCAGGATACCTACCTGATTCGGAAGAAATTGAAAATTCAACTTCCAAACTACAAGGAAAAATGCCGACGAGCCTGACATTGCAAATGAAGAAGAAAAAACACTACCCACACTGTTCTAACACAAATAGTAAAAGAGTGTACGGTAAAAATATGGGACGTCCTGAACACTTCCTATATGCCCTTGCCCACAATGGAAGACCCATGAATGAGGAGAATGAGGACAGCCACACGGTTTGAGGAACTATGGAATCTGCCGCATTTCATCGGAGCATTAGACGGCAAGCCCATCAAAATACAGAAATTTTCTAACAGTGGTTCATTAAACTTTAACTACAAGTTTTTCCATTTCATTGTACTATTTGCGTGCTCCGACGCAGATGGTATTTTTACGTTGATCGAAGCTGGCTTCACTGGTATAAATAGCGATGGTGGTATTTTCAGGGCGTCAGCTATTAAGTGATGGATAGTTAGCTTGGACATTGACATGCCTCCCGCTTCACCGTTGACACATGATGAATCAAATGTGCCGTCCCCCTTTTTTATTTTTTGGGTGGTGAGCCTTTCCCTTTAACTCGGTATTTAATGAGACACTATCCAAAGAAGATACTGGACAACGTTAAGGGGATATTTAATTTAAGATTAAGCCGGGGAAGGAAATCTGTGGAATGTGCGTTCGGGATGGTAAGTTCTAAGTTTCAAGTCCTGATAGTGCTAATTCAGTGTCATAAAGTTGGAACAGTTATTGTCATTGTTAAATGTGTGTGCATTCTGCACAACTTTGTACGAAAGCGAGAGGGAACTGAGTAAACGCAAATTAACATAGACCAGACACGAGCGCCTAGTGTGGATAATATATTCCAGTAAAGCAGCCTCTGACTTAGTGTAGATAATATATTCCAGTAAAGCAGCCTCTGACTTCAAAGGAAAATTATTCAGTCCCTGATCTCTGGGACAACCTAGCAAACTATTTCCTATCTCATCAAGCAAGTATACCCTGGCAATACAATAACTGTTTGTAAAAGAGAATAAATTCTATTGTAAGTTATGTTAGAGCACTGAACATTTTTTTATGTCATCTAAATTTCATAGAATGCCAGTAAACAACGTTATCTTGTAACGTAATAAATAAAACAGTTATGCTTTTAGCGAATTTCCCTACAGGAAAGTCGCTATTACCGTACGGGGCACGGTAAGACCTAGGCCCGGGACCGATTTACTTTTCTATTTTGATGTCCCCAGAGGCCAAAAGAACAATTCGTTCAAATTTATAAATAGTCCGTTAACGATGACTTGAGTAATTGTTGTCCGATTTTGATGAAATTTGGTTTAAAGGTGCAAGGCGGGATAAACATGAATGAGTTCGCAAACGATCATGATTGAACCATGGTAACAGGGTTTTATGGAGTAAAAAAAATGGGTTTTCTCATTTTTTTACCATCCAAACCCAAAATTTCTTAATTTCTCTCTAAACCTTTTTAAAGAGCTTAAATAAATAAATAATTTAGTATATCAAAGTGTTTTGTGCAATTATTGGTAACGGAGAAAAAAAAATTCCTATGTTATTCTCATAGAGAATATTAGAAAATGTTGTGGTTTGTTTTTTTTGTTTCAAACTTGGCAAATTCATTTTTTTATACTAAGCTATTAATTGCATCCTGATTGGTTGAGGGTGAAGTCCCTCCCTCTACCACGGGCATAAAAGGAGCGACTTAGTTGCACGTTGTAGGGGGATACAAGTATACGATTTTATTTTCATATACATGACAAAAGCCCAAAAAATCCTTACTTACTAAATTTGGTCAGGATACTGTAAGGATTGATGGAACTCACGGAGTAAACAATTACAATTTCCAACTCCACACATTGTTAGCATTAGATGAAACCAGAGAAGGCTGCCCATGTGCTTTAATGTTCGCTAATCGAGGGGATGAATTGACTATTTCGCTATTGTTTTATACAATTAAAAGTGTGACTGGGTTTATTACTCTTGAACGTATTCATGTTTGATATGGAGGAAACATTTTACATTGTTTGAGTAAAATCATGGGACAGGCTAAAATGCGTCTTTTCTGCAGTTTGCATGTGTTGCGGGCTTGGTGAGGTAATCTTACCAAAATAAAAATAAAAACAAGGAAAAGGAAATAAACCGTCGACAAAGTACTAAAAACTCTTCTTTACCATAGGACCGCCATAATGTTCTCAGTATTCTCACAGAAGCCATGAATAATATGAGAAGCGGTTTAGAAACGGTTGAGTATTTTCACTCCTAGAATAAGGGGTATAAATGCTGGGCCTACTCCAACAGAGTTCATGCTGGTATCAATACAAATATGAGCCGTGACAATTTCATCCGGGTCTTGAAATATTGCTACTTGCGGGGGGAAAAGGTGCACCGTCTGAATAAAACATTGTATAGCATCTTAAATTTAACTGTTTACAATTACACAATCAGAGAAGATTTTGTCACGTTTTGTGATAGTTATTCTCCAATTTCATTTCTGCTAAAAGGCACGCTGTTTTCAACGAGAAACTGAAGGGATCAACTTTAAGAGTTATGTGAAACTAGCTGGGTAGAGTAACATAACGGTAACCTTCAATTTCAGGGGGGCTCTCTAGTGCATACTTGTGGAGCTTGGAGTGACAAGATTGCATTGCAATACAACTTCAGAAGCGAACTGCCTGTATGGGCGTTTTCACACTACACAGCACGTCGCCAGCACTGCAACAGCAACAGCTCGGCAACGGCAGGGGTGCTTACACACTTGACAGCAACGACACGTTAAGATCACAGCATTTTTACTGCAGTCAGTGCAGTCAGCTATTAGATTTGGTGGAAGCAACATGGCTGATTATAATCGAAGATTATATTTATTATATTTGTTGTACTTAAGACGTAAGCGTCGGTCAGAAAGAAAGTGGTGGGTTCATCCTGTTTTGAAAGTGCGGTATGTTGATGGTGCTTACTACAATTTATTTGAGAAGTTAGATTGTGATCCAAAGAAATTTTTCAATTTCTTTCGTATGAGTAAACCAACATTTGATTATTTACTGACAAACATGACTGAACACATCAAAAGAGAATACTCTTCTTTTAGAATGGCTATTCCACCAGAAGAAATGTTGGTAGTGACACTACGGAAAGAAAAAAGCATTTTTGTATAGAGAGCATTTAATATATCAATACAACAAAATACACAAGTTTTAAAGGCACATGGTAAATTAATTATTTAATTAGAATTGAAATAATACATCGGACTTTGACCATCAGCTTGTTTGAATAATAAAATAAAACAGATTGTTTAAAAGATAGAAGTCACAACCAAATTTAAGTGTTATTGATAGAAATATGCTTCGCTTGGCATTGTTTCCCTTTGAGGACCAAGTACCTTTAAAATAAACATAAACAACATTTGTCTTAATTTTATTGTAGTTAATGGTTGTTTAAGTAAAAAACACATTTTTTTAATGTGTTTTTTACATATGGTACTTTTAAGTACCGTCGGTCCTTTATGGCTTGATCGCATATTTTAAGGTTGTTACTTTAAAGTACCGTCAGACCTCAATGACATAATTCCATAATTGCAAATTCTATTGATGGTGTAATAAAAGCTGAACATTGGACTAAGATAAGTTTTACTACACAGGTAAAAACTGTATACAGTACATGTTACACAAAAAGTGACATAAAATAAAAAGTTACAACTAATAGGCCTAGTGTTCATATTCATCATTGGAATGTCTTTTCAATGTCATGTTATTCAAGCAATACTTCATGGAATTCAGCAAAGCAGTTCTTTTTTTCGTTAACACATAGAGACACTTTACAGTGGCTGCACTTCGTGTAAGGGCGTGATTGAATCTTCCTTTTGGCGCATACCTCACATCTTCTCCTCTTTTGGTCAAATGTCACCCAGTGTATCCCTTTGTTGTTGCACCTCACATCTTTAGGTACAGAAAAATCAGTTGATTTTCTTCTTTTCAAAATGGGACTTGATGAGGTACTTGAAGAACTCAATTCGAGAGACCTTTTTCTCTGTTTCGGGTTTTGCATAGCAAGAAGACCTTTAGCAATCATTCTTCTGCATTCTAGAACTGGCATCTTATCAAATAGCTGACAACTTAAAACATATGCGTTGACGAAGGCAATGTCTAATACACCCCAGAATAGCCTGTGCCACCACTTTTTAGATTTTCTATTGACATTATACAGTGCTCTGTATCGATCCGCTAGGTCTACTCCTCCCATAAACCTATTATAGTCTTTCACTACGGGAGGGCAGGCTACTGTTACTTTTGATCCATCATTCTGGGTTCTTGTCACGGTACTTTGTTCTGTCCCATGGTAGTTTGATACAAGCCAGACAGATTTGTTGTCCTGCCACTTAAACACCCCTACATCAGTGGCCGAGTAGCGATGATCCCACTCCCCTCTCTCGAGACCCGACTTCATGTTTTGAGGCATACCTGCCCTGTCATTACGGATTGTGGCACAAGCTAAGGTGTTCTCCCTTCTCAGTCTTTCCAGTAGAGGAATAGAAGCAAAATAGTTGTCGAATTCTACAATCCGATTTTTTCCCGAGATTTCTTTTGTTAGTGTTAAAACCACTCTTTCACCCAAACCACTACCATGATACTCTGCTTCTATTACTTCATTCTTACCTTGATAGACATCAAATTTCAAAGTATAGCCTTTCTGGTCAGAAATACACCACAGCTTGTAACCCCTTTTGATTGGTTTCATTGGGTTATATTGTTTCAAAGAAGAACGACCTTTGAAAAGAATCATAGATTCGTCAACACTAACCTCTCAAGTTCCTTGGTAAACCGCCTTGAATTTGTCATTGAGCTTGTCAATAAGAGGTCGTAACTTATGAAGTTTGTCAGGATTTTCTTTGGAAATACTACTATTATCATTGATATGAAGAAAAGACAAAATTTCCATAAAGCGACTTCTTGTCATAGCTCTTGCTACTGGCTTGACATGCAAGTCATCGGAGGTAGACCAGTAATGTTTAATTGAGGGTAACTGGTGATATCCCATAAGGAAGTTGATTCCGATAAACACCAAGAGTTTATTATCTTTAAAATTAAGTGATTTGCCATTTTGTGTCGCAAACAAATTCGATTGATAAGTGATGTGACTTACCAAGTCCTGATCTAGAAGTTCAAGAAATACCTCCGTGGGTGTTTTACAGTTGTCCAAATGTCCTTCTGTTATTCCTATAAAAAATTAAACACATTTAGTCCTATAAAGGCTATACATAAGAATTTTGATTGAGATGTAACTTATTAGGCATATTTTTTGTCAGCAATAGTTCAAAAATAGTATACCGGTATTCTCATAACTACAGGGTATGGTAATATTTTGGCCTTAAACTGTTGCCTAGAATTGTTCAATTTGTTATTCAAATTGTTCAAATTGTAGGCTTCAAGACTTTTCTACATCAATTTATGAAGGTTTAGGTTAAAAAGGTAATTATATTGGTAATATAGTGTTTCTGAAACATTCAAACGGACTAATTATTTTGTTTAGGACAGTAGCCTCTAAAGTAACTCCTAGACTAACCTAAAGCTCTTGAAGTTTAATATATATGTATGGTGGTAAAGCTATAAAAAAGTATCAATGGTTTTCAAAATCTGAAAAGGAAACATGGATGAAACAAAATAAGTTACAAAATAAGTCTAATATTGTACACTTACCTTCACTTATGTCATAGCTTGGAATTGTTGTTTTCAGATCTTTTTTTTTCATTTATAATCTGGAACATCCTTTTTCTTAGTAGAGTCTTTATTGGCATCATTGGATTCTTCGCTTTAGGCCTACCTTTCGTTCTGTTCTTATCTGATTCGTAACATTTCTTTTTAGGCCTATCTTTTTTTGTAGAGCCTTTCCTAACATTTTTATTAGAAGTAATTTTTTTACTTGTAGTAATTAGGCCTTTATCAGCTTCAATAGTTAGGTTGTCTTCAATAGTTTCATCACACCCTTTCTTGTGATTGTTAGTATATTGTATATCTATTTCCGTGTTTATGATTTCCTCGTTGAACACTTTGACCCACCAATTCTTCATCGGGGAAACATGGCAAAGTTAGACTAGGCCTAATGAAAACTAAATCATCAACTAGCTGCAAATCTTTCTTTTCAAAAGTTGGGACTACATTTCTTACCAATATTTCTGTTTTTGCTATTCCTAAGTCCAAATAGTCACTCTAACCTCACTTCTTCATCATTTTCATCACAATCACTTGCATCTGAGCTTGCACTTATATCTGGTAAATCCACAAAAAGACACTCGTATATTTCTTTTGAACTTAATTTCCTATCCATTGTAAAGAAAACTACCAAAATATACGTGATAACACGGCACCATGAGAGATGTAAACATTTATTGACAAACAACACAACAACGAACAACAGTGTTTGACCAAACTCTTGTTTACAAATACAACACTGACCACCTGATGATGTTTGTCATTTGGTCATAGAGGACTGGAGGTACTAATGAGTACCGGACCATTTTTAGGTTATATATACTTAATTATAGAATGGTATTGTAAAATAAAAATGTAACTCTGAATTTAATACTATGCATCACCCATTTAGTAAAAAATATTGACGAGTAAAAGACTAAAACATGTTTAAAAAAATTGGAAATCAAACTATAGATTTGGTCAATAGAAACCATGAACTGGCCAAGGTAGTGCTTTCTAGTGGCTTTTCTCAAAACTAGGTGCCAAAATGGTGTTTTATAGAACAAATGGTGGTACTCAAAAGTACCTCCAGGTCTCAAATTCAGATAAAATCACTTTTAGATTTAATAATGACCCCTAAAATAGACGGTACTTAAAAGTACCATTGGTCCTCAAAGGGTTTTAAAAAGTTTCCATCTGCAGCTCCATGAGCTCATCTTCGCTCATGTCTCTCATGTTTGGGACAAAAGATAACATCAGCTTTTTATTGTCATCAGACTTGTCGTGGTTGGCTGGTTGCTCTCGTTTCAACTCCGTTAAAATTTCACACTCAACCGTGTCTAGCTCCCATTTCTTCGGTTTCTTGGTAAGTTTTTGACTAACGAACTATTGAAACTGTTGTACTCTTTTCGGTTGTACGGGCTGTACATCTAGTGGAGTGTTTACATCGCAGTCAGAAACTGATGGTGCAAAGGCAACGGTGCCACACTGTCTTCTTCACCACATTTAACAAGAAGGGTTAACAAGAAGCGCTATTTTCAACAAGAAGTTAAGATGTTCACTACACAAGTACTTCTTCTTAGCGCTTTGTCCAGTTTTAGGTTGTGAAGACCTCATGAAACCATCTCGAATAGTTGACCATCTCTTCATGATATTATCTCCTAAAAATAAAAACAAGTAATAATAAAAGTTCAAGTGTTAGGCCTACACGTTGTAAGGTACCAAATTTGAAGGGGGACCACGTTTAAATAAACACCAGGACTTACTCATTTTTAATCCACAATAGCCTACTCTTGGGCCCATGTGTTGGCCATAGCTTTGATTTTTCTCGGCTCCTTCTGATCACTCCGGGTGAGAAATTTGAGTGTGGCTGGTTCTAGGGGTAGGTCTAGCCTGACAGCATCACAGACCACCCACCCACCACTTAATTTGTCTATCTTTAAATTAAATTTATTAAACAGATTTGTTTGTATTAACATCAAATTTCCATTTTCTAATGTACAGCGAAATATTTACATAAAAAATTAATTTTGAAATATAAACATTTTGTATTCACACAAGATTAATCACCATTGTCTACTTCATAACACGCTGGGGAATTTAAACATCCTATGCCACTGCAATGCTCACACATTGGGAAACAGGACAAATTAGATTTTCGGCACCCACAGTACCGGCCTCACCCATTTTTGCAAGCGCAAGATAATATATGAAGGGCTGGGGGGAAAAACGATGAGGGTCCATAAATTGTGAATTTGCAGGTAAGACCGTATTCTTTTACTTTAAACCTGACAGTTCGTTGCCATGTGACTGATTTTGTGATAAACGATGAGGGTCACAAGTTATTACAGATTTTAAAAATAGGTAAACTGGGAAAAACGACGAGAGTCCATCGTGTTGGAGGGAACATCGATGAGAGTCCATCAATTTTAGTTTGTTTTGTTGGTACTTTAGTTGGTAGTCAATCTGTCATAGTTGCCGAGTATCCACTGCAAAAGTGTTGTGAGTTGTGAGGTTATGTGGTATCGCTGTGTATTTATTATATTATGATTAATGATTAAAGTAATACCAGTGTTAGTGATAGGTTAGTACTGTGAATTGTGAAATGGAGGAAGTAAAAAGTGACGACGAGTTGCCTGTAAAAGTACCCAATAACAGTAAAAAAAGGAAAAGGTTTGGTAGGTTAAGTGATGTTAAACGTAAGTTGTTGACACAGTCCCATGAAGTAGGACCTGATTGCCATTGCAATAGGTTGAAATGTTTCGAAAATGTCGATTTAGCTGCTAGAAAGGATTTAATTGCCAAGTTTAACTCTATGGGAAACTATAATGAGCAAAATCTGTATCTTGGCGGTCTAATAACTTTTACAGTTGTAAAACGGCGTAGGCCTAGATTGGATGATCCTGACTACCACAACTTTTCTTATTCATACAAAGTCAGAGTCATGAAAGATGAAATATTAGTTGAAACTCCTGTCTGTTATAAAGCTTGTATATCGCTTCACGGCATTACCCCACGCCGAGTTCAGAGCCTACAAAAAAATGCTAACAAGTAAAGGACAAGTTCTAAAAGATGCTAGAGGTTCACACCAAAACAGACCTCATAAGTTGAGTGATGATACTGTTAATAAAATCCACAGTCATATTCAGTCTTTAAGAGGGCGAAAATCTAATTATAGCCTTAATGACACCAAAAAGTTATACCTCCCTGATACTCTTAATGTGCATAAATTATGTGAAATGTATAACAAAATGTATCCTAATAACAAAGTGTCTGATTCTTCCTACAGGGCTATCTTTCAAAATGATTACAATATTGGTTTCGGGTACCCTAGAACTGATACTTGTAGCAAGTGTGATGAGTTTAGAGTTAATCTAGAGCAGTTAAATAGCAAACTCAACAACATAAACCAAGGTGATGCTGATAGTACTGCCTCGGTGAAAGCCCAAATTAAAAGTTTAGAAATTCAAAAAGAATTGCACTTGAGAAAAGCTCAAGCCTTTTACACACGTAAAAAGCAATCGAGGAGTTATGCTCAAAAAAACAAAGCCTTTGAAGCAATATGTATTGACTTTCAAAAGAACTTGTCTTCACCAAATATAACAACCAACGACATCTATTACAAAAGGCAGCAGTCGTATTATTTGTTCAATATTCACTGTCTATCAACACAAGAGGTTTTCTTTTTTGCATATGACCAAACTGTAGGTGGTAAAGGATCTAATGAGGTGTGTTCGATGCTTTATGGATATTTATTTAATTGCCTTGACTGTTCGGTTAAAGATGTTATCATCTGCGATTCGTGCTCGGGGCAAAATAAAAATTATACCCTGATAAGATTTTTGTACTATGTAGTTCATAATACTGACAGACTTAACAGCGTGACAGTAGTGTTTCCCATTCGTGGTCACTCTTATTTGGAGTGTGACAGGGATATGGGACTTATCAATCAAAAAGCACAGGTGGAAGTACCAACAGAATGGGCTGATGTAATAAGACATTCTCGTGTGAAGCCCTCACCATTCAATGTTATTGAGTGTTATCAAGAAC